GATTCGCGTGCGAGGATCGTGACACATACTTCGAAGTCGTCCCCGTTATGTCTCTGGGTCCTTTGCGTGCCTAGCGGGGTATTTGGTCTATTTTTGCCGGCTAGGTGTTCTTTCATGCGGACACAGAGGGGTCTACCCGTTTCGCCAATGTATTCGTCACCACACGTCTTACAGGAGATCAGATAAACTATACCCGAGCTCATGCAATCACCGTCTCTACCACTGGGGCAAATTATGCAATTTTGAGTTGCACATAGACGGTCATATAGGCGGTTACGAACTAGCTGGCACTTAAGATTACTCGGTGGTATTTCAACTACGCTCACCGAATTCTCTAAGCCCGCCCTTCTTAAGCAGCGTTTTATAGCTGTACTTATATCATTTGAGATGAAGGGTAGGATAAACGGAACCCTTATATCGCTAGAATGAGCTCGGGTATAGTTTATCTGATCTCCTGTAAGACGTGTGGTGACGAATACATTGGCGAAACGGGTAGACCCCTCTGTGTCCGCATGAAAGAACACCTAGCCGGCAAAAATAGACCAAATACCCCGCTAGGCACGCAAAGGACCCAGAGACATAACGGGGACGACTTCGAAGTATGTGTCACGATCCTCGCACGCGAATCAAGAACACAGGCGCGAAAAACTCTCGAGGCACTCTGGATTTTCCAGAAATCCGAAAATGAACCGCAGGGAAGAATGCCTCATTATCACGCGTGATATAGCGCAGTATATAAAACTGCTTTTCTGATGTGAGGGGCACATTATACTTCCACGTGATTTCTGTTCGGTTGGTCTCTACGTGACATACTTGGTAGAAACCTCATAGAAAGCGGTGAGTGTGCAAAGCTGTGTTCAAAGTGATTGAAATCTTGGTTTGGAGTTTCTTTGTTTGGTTATGGAGGCGTCTGGCCGAGTGGATTGCTATCAACTTGACCTTTCCAGGCTCTGAAGAAGGCGAAATCCGCCGAAACGTCAGCTTAATCGTGAACAAAGAATAGTAACACCTCGCGTTTGCTCAACAAAATTACGAAGAAAACTCCAATTGTGCAAACAATAATTTCTGCTTCTTCACATCAGAATCCTATACCCTTCAAGTGAAATCCGGCTTTATTCCTCACATTCAACAACGGCTATGCCAAAAAACGTTATCAAAACCGTACAATTGTGCACTATTTTCTTGATAACGAAACACGAGGTTATGAACAGTATGATTTATTCAATACAATGTAATGCTGGCTGACGTTTTGGTGGTTTCGAGTTCTTCAAAGTTTGGAAGGGTTAAGTGACACACAATTAACTCAGTCAAACATTTCATAACCCCGGCACACAAATTTTTGTATATAAACGCTTATTATGTATTGTGCATGCAATTATGTATATGTAGGTAATTATTAAATATGGTAATATGTGTATGTGTATGAGTAATATGGTAATATGTGTGTAATACTTGGCTACTTGGACGGTCCGTCTTCACTGGTTGGGCGGGCCCCAGCATAGCATATTACTACCAAGCAGTAATATGTGTATAATAAACATTTATGTATTAAGTTTTGCCTGTTCACGTTATGGTCATGTTTGACTGAGCCGATTGCGTGTCAATCGGACTTTTCTATGCTCTGAAGAAAGCGAAACTGCCAAATGGCCAGCGTTGCATTGAATAAGTCTTGCTGTTAACAAACTCGTGCTTGCTCGTGAAGAAAACTGTATTACCGATTAATGCCAAGGTTAAAAGAAAGCCGCTCTTGGGTATTGCACAATTGTTCTTTGAGATATAGCGACTTTTAGAATACCTCTTATTACAATTTTTGGTCGTTAAGTAAGAATCTGGATACATAATCGCAGTCATGAATGTATTTATGTTTATGAGTCGCTTGAACTTCAGCACACTCTCCACTGCACTTGTCCCCTTGGCATCGTCATCCACTGCAGTGACGTGGTTCGGATATAATGAAGTCTACGAGCATTAGCACTCAAAATTTATTTTCAACTACAAACACGGTAGAATGAGAAGAGCCATTGACGCACCCGCCCCTTTGATAGTGGATCCTCCAGAGGATGCTTAGACTCAGCTAGGGTCCTATCTGCAGTCGTTCTGAAGCATTTGCCAACTGTTCTCATCCAATTTTACTACCTCGATACCAGTTTGTCTACTTCTGTTTTCGCTTCCCATGTATATTTCAGTCGATCTCGAAGATGTGTTTTCCGAGAATTGGACTGCATAATCTAGCTTTGTGTTGATCTGATGCTTTTTTGCAAAACACTCGCGTAATAAGCTGGATTAAAAACCATACTATTCCTCTTCTCCCGCCTTTGTATTTTCTTTCACGCTAACTGAACGGTTGGGTACACGCGCTTCATACGCAGAATTTCCAGTCGATAGGAGCACATTTTCTTCCCATTCAAGCACTTTGCTACCCACTCCAGTATGTTGTTGAACAACTGCGGGGTCTCGACTGTGCTTCCTGCACGCATCGTTCTAAACTGGTACCAAGACGGCTGTTCGCAAACCAGCATTCGATAACCTAACGAAATATACTGCGTGTTTAGCTAGCGTTTTTTCTTATAGACTGCCGACCTACAGTTTTCCGAGATCACCAACTTTGCGGAAAGGAGTTTTTCTAATGTGGCGACGATTACTTGCACTGACCTAGGAGAGATGGAAATGTCGAATTCCTTCTATTGAACGAATCTGTTAGGACTACGGAAGCTCCATCTGTACACTGCATATTAAAGAAATTGGAGAATTACTCCTTCCACGAGGATGCAGTAATCATTTAGATGACAATTCGCTGTTTCTAATCCGATTTGATTTGATCAATGTCGAGGTTAACAGAAAGTCGGTCATGGAATTTGCTATATTTGAGTAACAGATAATACTGGGAACATAAGTTCCTTCTAACAATTGGATATTTTCGGTACTGACTCAAACGATTTGGTGGCTGAGTAGGAAGTTATCACTGCATTCCATCAAGTGTATTAATCTAGTTTGGTTCATTTCTTAAGTCTCCATTTTTTATTCATTTATTTAGCTTTTCATTAAGTGGAACAAGCGCAACAACGAAACTCCTTTCAACAAATCGATGCCAGTTAAATTCGCAGTGGTCAGGTTTGTTTCTGCAATCTGAGTTGATCTTACAACTACATACCTGATAATTATTCCGCATTGCACTGAAATATTGAATGGCATTACTGAATGTGACAGCATCTTTTTCCTTATTTCTCTGCAGAAACAGAAAGTGTGCTGCGGACATCCCGAAGCCTAGACATGCTCATAAGAAGCCTTTGCAGCACAGCAACTCGTTATGCTTAACCTGGTCCCATTTTAGTCATACAGCTCTAGTTCGACCATATTGTGATTACAAGTTAACCTAATTCGAGCAGTACGTGCACCTTAATTCAAAGTAGAGCTCACCTGCTCCAGGGAGACTTTGCAGTTGTGCTTTAAGACTGATCTTGTTGGAGACGATAAGCCACGGATTCATCTGATATAACGCCGACCACATGTACATCCAATCTAACCTAAATACGTTTCTCCATTATTAATTATAATACGTCAACAAATGCCATGAATACTTATGTCATTTATGGTGACGAAATCTACAGAATTTCTTTATCAGTAAAACTCAGGCCTTACCGCGAAAGACACGCGAAACGAAGGACCCGGATGTTGTGGTGGTGAACGTGTTACTCCCCGGAAAGGACAATAGCGCGTTCGTTCTCCACCGCAGACATCTGCGGTCCGCAGTTTTGCAAATATCTCAGCATTATAGAAGCATATATAATTTTGTCTTATTGTTTACTGACTACTCTTTTTAATGGAAGCGTGCATATTGCGAAATAACTTCAATGATGCTGAGATATTTGCAAAACTCCGGACCGCAGCTGTCCGCTCCGGGCAACGAACGCGCTATTGTCCTTTCCGGAAAGTAACGCGTTCACCACCACACCATGCAGGTCCTTCGTTCCGCCTGTCTCTCAGCTAGTTCTATAGATCTTTGCCACAGAAATCACACGTCAGTGGGATTGATCTTGGAAGCCCAAACCGGCAATGAACCCAATTAAGTTGAGGCTGAAGTTACAATCACAGTTTTAACTTATTATCAACTACACAGTCTTCTTAATCCACGGATCTCCCTCACCTGAGGGATCTCGAAACGGTTAGTTGCAAGGCTACGTGGCGCCTGCCAAGGTGGAGGAAAGGAGTTTAATCGCGCACCAAAAGCGACCTTTGCTTCCCTGAGACGAAGGTGGACCCAGGTGGTGGACTCCCTGTTTCTGCTGCGCCGATTTGGCACATACTATCTGCATTTGCTAGGCGTATTCATGCATGCATGTGTGGGTGAATTCTCGCTTATGCGGATTGTATTCCACGAGACAATTCAGCCAAAAGCCTACAATCAAATGATAGGTAAGCATATGAGAGGCGGTTAGGAGTCACCTCCAACAAATAAGCTCTACGTTCACTGAGGGAGAGCCTGGCAAGCTACCCGTGAGTATACCCAGCCCCCACGTTCGGAGCATAGAAAGCTATACGTGGGTATTAAAAATGCAAAACACAGTGAAAAAAAAACGGGCCTCATTCCTCTGACCCCGAAAGCGCCCCCAATTTCGTAGCGTTGACTAGAACAAGTACGTACAGGCTGCTGAAATCTCAGAGCCAATGGAAGCTGCCTAGATTAAAAAGAACTATGGTGACGATCTGTACCTACAATGCACGTATCATCCATTTCTCGCGGTTCCAGAAGCCCCACACTCAGAACTGGACGTGGGAGTCTCACAATGGAGAGTACCATAACGAGAGAGAACACGTCATAGTAAATAGGTTTTGCCTAACCGATGTCGCTGCTGTCCCAAAATTCTACACGGGATCAGACCACCGTCTCCTCCGTGAAGGATTCTACTTCTCGCAAGAAGGAAAAAAAAGCCGATAAATTCAAAAACCGAAGTACCAGAACCACCATGAACTGGGACGAATTTAATTCATTATTCGGCTGTTGGGAAGATGCCGTTGTCGATAACATCGACGGAGAATACGATCGGCTCATTCAACATCTTCACGTTAACGCTATTAAAGCTGAGAGTGCGAAAGTCACCAAGAGACGAATGTCTCCAGAAACACTTGAGCTGATACGCCAGCGTGGAATCGCACGAGCTGCAGGCAACCGCGAACTAGCGTCCGAACGTGCAAAGCAACGCAGAAAGGCGATAAAAGAAGATCTTAGATACAGAAGAGCAGCAGTAATGACCGAAGCTGCAGAGGCTGGGAAAAGCATTCGTAAAGCCCACCGATGCTCCACCAATTACAAGACCAAGATGATTGCACTCCGACGCCCATGCGGAGCAGTTACAGCGTCCAGAAAGGCAATGGAGAAAATCATTCACCAACACTAATCAGACACCTTCGATAGCCATGTCCACTTTCCGTCATATGAAATAAAACAGAATGGATATGTTGCACCACCGGTTCTCCCTTCCGAAATTCTACATGCCATTTCGTCCGTGAAAAATCGAACAACACCAGGTCCGAACAAAGTAAGACCAGAACACCTAAAGAACCTTCCACCAGTCCTCGTGAACACACTTGCTTGGTTATTCACACGTTACCTGTCTGAATGCAAGGCTCCTATTCAGTGGATGACCAGCATGACCGTACTTTTATACAAGGGCGACCTACACGATATAGGCAACTATCGCCCAATCTGCTTAATCCCTGTCGTCTATTCGAAAAGGTTTGAGTACGATGGATGACATCGACACGATAACAAAGCTCATTGAAGTATAGCGAGAGTACAAAGTACAAAAGACCGCTCTGTCTCACTTTCATCGATTTAAAGAAGGCCTTCGATCCAATTAAGATAGAAGTAGTTATGGAAGCCCCTCACAGTTAAGGAGTCCCCAGTCAGTGCATAAAGATTCTTCATAAGCTGTACAAAAATTTCACAACCAAGATATCCTCATTCTACAACTATATTAACATTGAGGTCAAAATAGGGGTTAGACAAGGCGATACCATCTCGCCAAAATTGTTTACCCGTCAGAACACCATGCGAACATTGGAATGGGATAATATGGGAGTGAAAATCGTTGGTCGGTAGTTTCAGCATCTTCGTTTTGCTAATGACATCGTCCTTATAACATCAAACATTAGCCAAGTAGAACGAATCCTTGCCGACTTTGATAAAACCTGTGGAAAAATTGCTCCCGGACTAAACCTCACAAAAACGATGTTTATGAGGAACGGATTCGTTTCGCATGCCCCATTCACGCTCAACGGAACGAATATCTCCGAATGCTCCAGTTATATCTATCTAGGTCGTGAGATCAATATGATGAACGACTTAGCTCCAAAGCTGAACAGAAGAAAACGAGCGGCTTGGGGAGCTTTCAGGAGCATCGAGGATGTAATGAGGAAAACAAAAAACACCCGACTCCGTGCCCACGTTTTTGACTTAGCGGTACTTCCTGCCCTAACGTATGCGTCAGAAACCTGGTCGCTGCGTAAGCAGGATGAAAGGTCACTCACCGTTATCGAACGCACAATCGAAAGGACGATGCTTGGAGTATCGCGTTCCACACAAGTAAGCGATGGGATCCGAAGCTCCGATCTGCGTCAACGATCAAAATTCAAAGATTCCGTTTTGTACACCGAACTCTCGAAGATAAGATGCGCCGGACACGTAATGCGTATCAATGACAACCGATGGACAAGAGCCGTCAGTGAGTGGATTCCTCGGGATGTCAAACATACTGCAGGAGGACCACCTACCCCATAGTCAGGGCTTTTCACAAAGAGTCTTGAAAATATATGTCATATGATGCTATATGATGATGCTCGACGAGTCCCTAGAGCGAGCAGTACCCACTGGGCTACTTTTGCACGCCACAGGGAAGAATGGAAGATTTGCTGGCGCCCGCTCGAGTCACTCGACGATCAACGGGACTACAGGTGATACAGGTCATATTCTTTTTAATGGCAGGGTATATATTGTGAAATATAACTTCAATGATGCTGAGATATTTGCAGAACTCCGCAGCGCCGGTGCCTGCTGTGAGGAACGAGCCCGCTGTTGTCCTTTCCGTGGAGAAACGCCCTTCTCAGGTTGGGAGACCCTACTGGCTGATGAACTTCCCCGTTCTACATAGGAGCGCAACACCCAGGAACACCTCCCAGCCACGGTGAGGCGATGAACCGTTAGAAGGAATAGTTTCTTTTGGCTTCCCTTGTTACGTATGAGCGCCATAAAGTGTGCTCTAAAAGCGCGAAAGCGCGTTATCGAAGTTTTTTGCTTTCAAGGTTTCCATACTTGGAATTGGAAAAGAGGCCCTTGAGAAATTTCCAAAAAAAAAACCGCACATGGAATTCTTCTGTTACTAAGTCGACCATAAAATTACGGCGACCTACGAAAAGACTCTTTAGACAGCTTACAGCCCGTGAATATGTAGATACAGTGACCAAGCGCAGCCGTCGGACAATTCATCTTATCGTTATAGTTTCTCAAGGGTGCAGACGGTGCCCTGCAATGCACTCATTGTCACCGGCTCGATCGCACGCCCAAAGCTAATCGAAGCGTCACCCCTCCAACGTTCCAACCGCACTTGCCGGAAAGGTTAGAAGCACTTACTGTCTGCATTGATTGGCACACAAAGCTCGTGTATGGGCCAAATGTATACTAAGCCACCTTTAACGATGCTTGATGAAATCGAATGCGTGGCGCATCTCCTAGGGATTCATAAACGACAAACGCTTTATCCTTTCATTGTTCATCGTCCTGGATTCTGTATCTCTGTATTAAACTACGAAATCTCTGCTAAAGTTTTGTTTCTTTACTGACTTTAGGTGGCATTTTTTTGCTCAAATTACTTTCGTTCTAACGATTCTATCTAACACGGAAAATATTCTCAATTTATGATTTGTTATATATAGTGTTGAGAAAATTTCTCGCCTTTCTAAGAAAACATACCTCGTTCGATGATTCATAACGATTAGAGCTGGCTTGTCGTACTCAATCTCATCACCGGACACCCGTACTCGCATCCCGAATATCAACTCCAGAAAGCCCTGAAGGCTGGTTACCTTTTTAGAACCTTCCGTCCATGGACGACATTTTAGTTAATTGGACTTATCGAGACATTCTGTAACAATTCTAACGCCTACCATCGTTGCAGTTCATTATAAGCAACATTTTGGTATATGAAAAAGAAAACATAAAAATTGATCGGGCGTTCTGTCTAGATGAACATCCGTGGCACTATTCATTTTCCTTTTCGCAGCATCAACGTCATTGTTCGGATGAGTTTTAACGCAGCTCTCAAAATAATTTACGTTTTCATTGTAATCCTTTAATTAAGGAGAAGACTGTTGCAAAAAAATTGAACAATTCAACACTGACTATTGGAACCATCATCCAGAAACTGACAGAACGATCAATCACCGATCTCCATGTGTTGTGTTTACCCATCACCAATAGAAACAAAAACCTGAATATTTCGCGATTGAGCTTTGTGACGGTATTATATCAGACAGTCGTAAAATTACGATGAAAGCGTGATTTACTTACAGTGATACAATATACGATCCAAAAAGTGACGTGGCTAGTATGGAGATGCCAAAAATCCAACCAACAATCGGCATGAATAAGTCGACGACTCGTCGAAGGAACGCATGCCACTTCAACGCATCCATTGTTTCTGAAAGGTTCGGTGAATGAAATTTTCATTCTCTCCAAGCAGGTAAACTTGATTCGCGAACACGAATTTCTTATTAGAGCATTTCGAAGACAATATTTCTTATTGCAGCGATAAGCTCTCTGTTGTCTACGTTCTCATTGCTTACTCACTACACTAGAATCCTATATATTCTATCATTGAAATATTCAGCGGCCAGCTTTTTCAAGGCGGTGAAGTGAAAATTGAGAACCAATAAACAAAATCGCTTTAACTAATGGTTATTAAGTTACATCGAAATAATGCAGAATTTTTAATGTTTATATCTGCTGTCCTACCAACGGTTTACCTCTTCATTGTGTACTTGGGTGTAGTGCTGCGATGTACAGCAGAGTAATTCATCTCTCTGGCAGGGTCTCCCAACCTGAGAAGGACTCCGGCGTTTTCATCAGGAAGTCCACTTAAGACTAAACCAATGCCAGGATCCGTCATCGTCCTGTTACGAAACTAGTCGCATGGTGGGCGACAGCTGCCTATAGTGGTGACGACCTGGAATGTACTTTGGTCTGGCCGACTTCGGGGCTCCAGGGAACCACAACGGCTAAACCAGTAAAACTCCGGAAAAGTGGAGATTGTGCTGGGACCCGCACAATCAGTGAGAACGGGCCGTCAAATTATTAAAATAAAGTAAGTATATTTGTAGTATATGTCTTAGCGACTTTTAGGAAAAATTTTTTAGGATGGTTCATTCATCAATGTAAAGCTCATTTTATGCAGATTCGCTGTGTACAATTAGATCATAATACATAAAGTAATTTTAACAAGTTTTTGAGGCTCGCATTCGAGATGTCAAGACAGCAATTTCGGCAGATTTATTTCGCTAAACTAGAAGTAGTATAAGAGTCTCCCTCATATGAGGGATCTCGAGCCGGTTAGTGGCAAGGCTACGTGGCGCGCCACCAGGTGGCGGATAGGGGCTAATCGCGGACCAAAAGCGACCTTTACTTCCTTGGGTGGATCTAGGAGGTGGCCTCTCTGTTGTTTCTGCTGCGCCGATTTGGCACATACTATCTGCATTTGCTAAGCGTATTCATGCATGCGTGTGTGAGTGCGTTCTCGCTCAAGCGGTTTGTATTCAACCAGACAATTCAACCAAAAGCCTACAATTAAGTAACAGGGAAGTATATGGGAGGCAGTTAGGAGTCACCTCCAACAAATAAGCCCCATGTCCACTGTGGGAAAGCCTGGCAAGTTACCCGTGAGTATACGCAGCCCCCACGTTCACAGCCCGGCAAGATATACATGGGTATCAAAATGTTAAACACAGTAAAAAAAAAAAACAGGCTTCATTCCCCCTGAATCCGAAAGCGCCCACAATTTCGTAGCGTTGACTAGAACAAGTACGTACAGGCTGCTAAAATCTCAGAGCCTAGATTAAAAAGAACTATGGTGACGATCTGTACCTACAATGCACGTACACTTGCATCCGAGTCCTCGATAGAAGACTTGCTCATACAAGCAAGGAGGATAAGGTACGAAGTCATAGGCCTGGCCGAGACAAGACGACGCCACCCATTCAACGCCGTCTTTGACACCGAAGAAGAACTGTTCCTCGGAACATGCGACAGTAGAGGAACGGGCGGCATCGGCGTTCTCGGCAACACGAGTATGTCCATGAACATTGATTCATTCGCACAACGACCCGAATCGGACGTTTACGATTAAAAAGACGTGGATCAGTTCCGTATATGACAATCTTTGTCGTTTACGCGATGACAACAAACTATGACGAAGAAGAAATGGAAGCGTGCTATACAGTGTTGGAGAAGTTCTACAGAGAAGACCACACAATCTTTAAGGTCATCACTGGAGAGTTCAACGCCAAGATTAGACCAAGAAGAACGTTTGGAAACGTCACATTGGGACCCACGGATTAAAGTGGAACGAACAGGGTGAGCGGCTGCTTGAGTTTATCATAGCAACCAAAACAATCTATGGTAACTCGCAATTCTAGAAGCCCCACCCTCAGCGCAGGACGTGGGAGTCTCCCAATGGAGAGTACAACAACCAAATAGACCACACCATAGTAAATAGAAGGTTTTGCCTAGCAAATGTCGCTATTGTCCCAAAATTCTACACGAAATCAGACCATCGTCTACTTCATGCGAGATTCTGTTTCTCGTCGAAAGAAGAAACATCCGCTAAATTCCAAAACCGAAGTCCCAGAACCACCTTGAATTGGGATTTATTCAGTTAATTAGTCAGCTGTTGGGAAGATGCCGTTGTCGATAACATCGACGAAGAATACGATCGGCTCATTCAACATCTTCACGTTAACGATATTAAAGCTGAGAGTGCGAAAGTCACCAAGAGACGAATGTCTCCAGAAACACTTGAGCTGATACGCCAGCGTGGAATCGCACGAGCTGCAGGCAACCGCGAACTAGCGTCCGAACGTGCAAAACAATGCAGAAAGGCGATAAAAGAAGATCTTAGATACAGAAGAGCAGCAGTAATGACCGAAGCTGCAGAGGCTGGGAAAAGCATTCGCAAAACCCACCGAAGCTCCGCCAATTACAAGACCAAGATGATTGCACTCCGACGCCCATGCGGAGCAGTTACAGCGTCCAGAAAGGCAATGGAGAAAATCATTCACCAATACTAAACAGACACCTTCGATAGCCATGTCCACTTTCCGTCATATGATATAAAACAGAATGGATATGTTGTACCACCGGTTCTCCCTTCCGAAATCCTACATGCCATTTCGTCCGTGAAAAATCGAACAACACCAGGTCCGAACAGAATAAGACCAGAACACTTAAAGAACCTTCCACCAGTTCTCATAAACACACTTGCTCGGTTATTCACATGTTACCTGTCTGAATGCAAGGTACCTACTCAGTGGATGACCAGCATAACCGTACTGTTGTTCAAGATGGGTGAGCTACACGATATAGACAACTATCGCCCAATCCCCTTAATGCCTGTCGTCCACAAATTTTTCACTCGAGTCATCCTGAACAGGATTGACAGAAAACAGGGTTTCGAAAAGGATTGAGTACGATGGACGACATCCCGACGATAACAAAGCTCATTGAAATATAGCAAGAGTACAAAAGACCTCTCTGTCTCACTTTCATCGATTTAAAGAAGACTTTTAATTCAATTAACATAGAAGTAGTCATGGAAGCCCTTGACAGTAATGGAGTCCCCGCTCAGTGCATGAAGATTCTTGGTGAGCTGTACAAAAATTTCACAACAAATATATCCCCATTCTACAACGATATTAACATTGACGTCAAAAGAGGGATTAGACAAGGCGATACCATCTCGCCAAAATTATTTACCCCCAGAACGTCATGCGAACAATGGAGTGGGATAATATGGGAGTGAAAATCGTTGGTCGGCAGTTACAGCATCTTCGCTTTGCTGATGACATCGTCCTTACAACACCAAGCATTATCCAAACGGAATGCAGGCTTGACGAATTTGATAAAGTCTGTGGAAACATTGGTCTTCAACTAAATCTCACAAAAATGATGTTCATAAAGAACGGGTTGGTTTCGCATGCCCGCATGCAATATCTCCGAATGCTCCAGTTATATCTATCTAGGAAGTCAATATGATGAACGACCTAGCTCCAGAGCTGAACAGTAGAAAACGAGCGGCTTGGGGAGCTTTCAGGAGCATCGGGGATGAAATGAGGAGAACAAAGAACATCCGGCTCCGTGCCCAACTTTTCGACTTAGCGGTACTTCCTCCCTTAACATTTGCGTCAGAAACCTGGTTGCTGCTTAAGCAGGATGAAAGGTCACTCAGCGCTATCGAACGCGCAGTCGAAGGGACGATGCTAGGAGTATCGCGTTCCACACAAGTAAGCGATGGGATCCGAAGCTCCGATCTGCGTCAACGATCGAAAATCGAAGATGCCGTTTTGTACGCCAAACAGTCGAAGATAAGTTGGGACAGACACGTAATGCGTATGAATGATAGCCGATGAGCAAGAGCCGTTAGTGACTGGATTCCTCGGGATGTCAAACGTACTGCAGAAAGACCACCGACCCAATAGTCAGAGTTCTTCACGAAGAGCCCAGAAGAAGGATATGATGCCCGACGAGTCCGTAGAGCGAGTTGAACCCGCTGGACTACTCTTGCACGCGACAGGGAAAAATGGAACATTTACTGGCGCCCGCTCGAGTCACTCGGCGATCAACGGGACTACAGGTGATACAGAAAACTAAAAGCAGTATTACGAGGAGCCAACTGTTCGAGACACCGTTGAGAGGTGATGCCGAAAAAGTATTAACGAATGATTTCGTCGTGGCGAATTCGACGATGCAAACAAGGACGGTGGTGGACGTCCTTTTCCTGGTATTTCTCCTATAGACTACGATAAAATTAAGGCTTTAGTAGAGGCAAATACATGGACAACTCTTCCAAAACTCAAGAACCGAATTTCTATAAACCTCGGCATAAATAGTTGATATAATCTTTATATGATCTTATAAACTGATTTTGTTGAACTGATGCGACGTTACATCGACTATCAACACCAACAACAGCAAAGAAAACCTCTACCAACCTCGCATCAGCTCAACCGAACCAGTTTATAGGGTCATATAAATAAATGGTTTAAAACATATAGAAGAACTCATTGAATCATTGAGACACACCACTTCAAAGAACACAGGTTGTCACCCTGCACTGGTTTCTGAACAAACTGTCTTCAGTTCACATATTTCAGTGGTCTTCATTAAAACACTAAAAGACATTTAAAAATATCACAACATGGGTCACATATGTTTGTTGACTTGTTCTTTTCAGTAGAATGTTCAGTTATCGACAACTAATACCAACGGTAATGTGGAGCGGACTTATTTGCCATCAGAATGTAGTGCTTCGCTAGACGTAGGCGAGCAGTTGTATTTGACTAGGAGTTTTGTGTTGTTTTGTGAACACTAATTCATTTCGTGTACGCATTATTATAACGGGGCAACTGACTGCTAGATTGGATTT